TTCTAATTTAACAGAAGGGATAAGACTAATGTCTAAAATGATAGGGACTTAAAATAAATTAGACCCAAAAAGTTGAATGGCTAAGGTAGAGATACGATTACGGGATTGTCTCCGGAAAGATGGACTAATATACGGCTAATATACGACGTTACCGGATACATTAAAAGATATTTGACAAATTCGGTTTAGCGCTACCGGAAATATTGAGTAATAATAATGTAATAGGTGAAAATCATGAAGAAATATTAAAAAATTTGACAACCGACAAACTTAGTTTGTCAGTTTATGTCGATACTTTATAAAAATATATTGATTCATAATTATAACAAGTAAAAAAATGACAAAACCGGTCTATAAATGACAAAACAGGTAAAGCGCTACCGGATATATTGAAAGTGCCGATACTTTATAAAAATGTATTTATCCATAACAATATAACAGATAAAAAAATGACAAAACCAATCTATAAATGACAAAACAGGTAAAGCGCTACCGGATATATTGAAAGTGTTGATACTCTATAAAAATGTATCGATCCATAACAATATAACAGGTAAAAAAATGACAAACCGGTCTATAAATGACAAAACAGGTAAAGCGCTACCGGATATATTGAAAGTGCCGATACTTTATAAAAATGTATTTATCCATAACAATATAACAGATAAAAAAATGACAAAACCAATCTATAAATGACAAAACAGGTAAAGCGCTACCGGATATATTGAAAGTGTCGATATTCTATAAAAATGTATCGATCCATAACAATATAACAGGTAAAAAAATGACAAACCGGTCTATAAATGACAAAACAGGTAAAGCGCTACCGGATATGTTGATAGTGTCGATACTTTATAAAAATGTATCGATCCATAACAATAAAACAAGTAAAAAAATGACAAAACCGGTCTATAAATGACAAAACAGGTAAAGCGCTACCGGATATATTGAAAGTGCCGATACTTTATAAAAATGTATTTATCCATAACAATATAACAGATAAAAAAATGACAAAACCAATCTATAAATGACAAAACAGGTAAAGCGCTACCGGATATATTGAAAGTGTTGATACTCTATAAAAATGTATCGATCCATAACAATATAACAGGTAAAAAAATGACAAACCGGTCTATAAATGACAAAACAGGTAAAGCGCTACCGGATATGTTGATAGTGTCGATACTTTATAAAAATGTATCGATCCATAACAATAAAACAAGTAAAAAAATGACAAAACCGGTCTATAAATGACAAAACAGGTAAAGCGCTACCGGATATGTTGATAGTGTCGATACTTTATTATAAGTATCGACACTTTTGGAATTTAAAAGAGAATAAATTATAGTGCTAATAAAGTGTTGATACATGTGTAATTTGTGTCGATACATTTTTTCCATAATGAATGCCCAACGAGGTGCAAGAATAAAGTGTCGATACATTTAAAATTGTATCGATCCCAAAAACATCGAAACGAAAATTACAATGTTATAGGTAAATTTACAATGTACCCTGTATAAATATACCAGTTTTATGAGAAAATAAGTCTAAATAATGTATCGACACCTTTATAGTTTGTGTCGATACTTTTTTCCAGAATGAATTAGGAATGCCCAACGAGGTGCAAGTATAAAGTGTCGATACATTTAAAATTGTATCGATCCAAAAAACAACGAAACCAATAATTATAATGCAATAGGTAAATTTGCAATGCTACCGGTATAAATATACCGGTTAAATGTCTATTTAATTATATAAGCACTACCTATTACATTATATAAGTACTACCTAATATGTTATTGTGCTTGATAATATTTCCGGTTAAATGATATAACATAACCGGTCTAAATTTTAACCGATCACTTCTGGATATCAAACGGACGGTGATTGACGCGCCAAAAAGTTGGGGCAAGGCAACTTTTAGTCCTTAAATTTGATATTTTTTCTAATTTGGTCACGATACTTTTGTTTATATTACTCTAAACTTGATCTTTTAATCGTTTTGATGATGCAACATTTTGAGTATATATCATGTGCTACAATATTAGAATAGCATATTATCAAAATGAGTACAAATTATAAAAGTTAGGAATTAAATTGAAAATAATTATCAAATTCGATGATTAAAATTTTAAAATACTTACGAGATTTGTCTGACATTAGCTGGCCTATTATTTTATACTAAATCTTATGCACCGAGTGTGATGACACATACATAAGGACATGAAGTGAGGCAGGGGAATTTTATTCCCATATTATCATATTTCACTGAAAATATGAGTAAGCAGATGTCTACTCTTCATATGAATCTCCTACCAGCTTCTATAAAAAGAATCATTATAAAAGATGATTTTAAAAAAGTGGATTCTTAAGACATGGAGAGAGCTTCTGCCCCATTAGAGTCTCACATACCGACTCTGAAATTACAATGGCTTGGGATAACTCTCTACGTGCTCCTCATCGGGCGGTGGCACCGACAAGTTCATGGCCAAGGGAACAATAATGGAAGGAATTAAGGATCCTCAAATCATGCCCCAATCAAGCACCTTAAATTCTGTTCCCAAAATCCCTTCAATCTTGCAGAAGGGTGTTAATGTACAAGAGTCAGGAATGTTTTGCATCACAATTAAATGGGCAGAGCTACCCATTGGGCCTAATCTAGACCACAATACAGGTTTTGATACCCATATGTCATTTGTTGAAGAGGACAACAATTGCTAATGCTGAAGTTTCTAAGCATGCACGTGTGACAACTCCCTCACCTGGATTTCAAGTCATTACAGATTTGAATGGTGACTCTTCTAATACATCGGCCGGCCTATCTCAACAGGCCGCCGTCAACAGTGAAAATAATATGCTGAAGAGTATTCGTCCCCATGTTTTGCTTCTGATGGAAACAAAACTTTCTGGAACTAAAATGGCAACTATTCGTGGGAAACGTGGTTTTCTTCACGGGTTTGATGTAGGAGCAATTGGCTTGAAAGGAGGTTTATCATTTGCTTGGTCTCATGATGTTTCGGTCTCTCTCCGTAGCTTCTCTATCAATCACATTAGTGTAGATGTTTCTGATGCTCTAAATTCAATGGTCAGGCGGTTCACAGGCTTTTATGGTAATCCAGAAGAGAACCAACGCACAACTTGATGGAATTTGTTACGCTCCCTACATGCTAATCAGAAGTCACAGTGGATGGTAGCGGGAGATTTTTTTAATGTTTCTTCCATAAAAGGGCTCCAGTTAGGCCCTACCAAACCCATTAACCGTTAACCGACTAAACCCAAAATTAACCGACCAAAATTTCGGTTCTGTTGGTTAATTCGGTTTTAACAGAACAGTGAACTCCCCTACCAATTCAGGCCCATCTCTTTGTGCAACGTTCTCTACAAGTTTATAGCAAAGGCAATTGTTAATCGAATTTGCGGGTTATTGGATGCGTGTATCGACCAAACCCAAGGTGCATTTGTTCCAGGTAGGCACATTACTGACAATGTGCTTATTGCCTACGAGGTACTTCATATGCTAAAATTAAAGAGACTGGGACGTAAAGGCTCTTTTGCACTGAAGGAACATCAACCGGAAAAAGGGATCCTGCAAGCCTGCAACAGCATTATCCAACCTCGCACTTTACAGGGCTAACAAAACGAATGTCGTGGTTGCCGGGGCAGTTCCGTTGCTTATTGAACTGTTGGTGGATGACAAAGCAGGCATAACAGACGATGCCTTGGGAGTTTTGGCTCTGCTTTTGAGTTGTCATCAAGGGCTTGAATATACTAAAAAGAGGAGAGCTTTAGTGCCTCTTCTCATCGATCTCTTAAGATTCGGATCATCCTAATTGAAGGAGAATTCGATAACGCTTTTGCTGGGGCTGTGCAAAGACAGCGGAGAGGAAGTCGTGAGACGAATTTTGATAAATCCGTGAAGCATACCTTCGCTCCAAAGCTTGGCTGCCGACGGACCTCCGAAAGCTCAAAGAAAGGCTAATGCACTCCTCCATTACTTAACAGGTGCTGCTCACAGTCTCACAATCCCGTTGGATAACATGTAACGAACTTCTCGGAGTGTAAATTGTCGATTTCGGATGAACAACAGAGTGCAAAAGGAAGGAAACAAAAAAGAATACATCCTACTGTAAATGATTAGTTTGATTAAAATCACCTTGATTTTTCTATAAGCATAACGGCAAACCGGTTTGATTATACGATGGAAAACAATAGACTAAAACTATAGTCAAGTTTCTGAAATCTACAGATGCTAGAATAGAAGTCGATGCATCTAATTATTAATATTGTTATCTAACACGTGTTACACGTATAAAATTTCAAAATTTATTTTATTTAAAAAAAATTAATATTATAATTAAGAAAAACTCAAATTTTACATTTTCTATAGTCGATCGGCCACCGTTGGTCCATGACAGTCACCGTCACCGTTGACAGCATCAAAACCGTCTCACCGCCACAATCAACACCCAGTCCCCCACCCACCGTGTAACTGCGCCAATCGTTGTGAAAAACGCCGCCAAGGATTGACGAATTTTTAGGTTTTTCATTTATGTTTTCTGAAGATTTCGATGGCTACAGCCGTTCGTGCGTTACATGGCCGCCATCATTGTATTCCTCATCGTGCTCCGAATAAAATTCGACCGTTGGTGACCGTTCGTTGTCGGAGGTGGGACGACAGGAGGGAGAGGGTTGACGCGCGAGGGGGGAAAGGTTAGTAACCGTCCCATGTAATAATATTGTCGACAAAGTTCAAACATAATCTTAATATTATTTTTCATATATTTTTGTTCTTTCTAAAGTTTTCGTCTTCAGTAGATTAACTGTTGCGAGTTAAGTATAATTCTTTGGCGACTCACAACAGAACAATACAAAACCAAGGAAAATCATATGAGCAAAAACAAGGAAGAGTACAATTTATTCAAGAAACAGAACAATTCGCCAACACGTATGGATAAAAAAACATTGTTAAGACAAAAGAATCTTTCATTTAGAGTCGAAAGACAAATCAATAGTGTGTTGGGGCAGGGCAATGAGCCGATCGGAAAGCCAATGGCCCGGCAGCATAGATCACAACATCATAATCCTTCCTATACAGCCTCTTGCTCTCGTACCGCAGCGGCGAGCCATAGAGTCCATAGTTGACGTTCGACATCACGTTGCAGCTCTCGAGGGGCGATCCGACGAGCTTGACTACGCATGATTGGAGAGGGTGGTCCAGGAGAGAGTGACTCATTTCAAACCCTTCGAGGTCGGCGAAGAAGTAACCCTTGGCGTCCGTTTCAAACGCCCTGTAGAAGCTGACTTGGCCCCTTTGGTTCTTGCAGACGACGCTAACTTTAGCTGACGCGATGGGCTCGGCTTTCGACAATGACCATGACCCGTAGGCGTCGCAGCTTTGGCAGTACACCATCCCTTCGACGACTACCTCGGTTTTCTTCTCTTGCGGGACGGTTTCGTATGCGGCTAAGGCTAATGGGAGAAGCAGCAATGATGAGATCAAAAGTGCCAGGAGAGTGGTAGCCATTTTTGAAGGGAGACTTTGGGGAAAACAAGGTTGTAATGTAAGAAAATTTGGGTGGAGATGTACTTCATGAAATGGTATATATATATATATATATATATATTGAGGAATGTTTTGAAACATCGATAGACGTGGAGGCTACTGTGTTCCAAACATATATATATATTGACGAATGTTTTGAAACATCGATAGACGTGGAGGCTACTATGTTCCATCCATGCTCAACATGCGCTTGTGTATTCATTTACGTGAAGGCCGCTTTTGAATTAACAATGAACCTGGAATAATAAAAAAATATTGTGTACGGGGATTTGCTTTGTAGGATCCTTTGGCTTTCGATCATTCCATAGTCGTCTCGAACAATTTAAGGTATTGAGCGAAGCTAAAATATAAACCTTTATAAAACAAAAATATATTCTATTATTTTGAATAATTAATTTAATATTATATTAATAAATCGTAGAAAATGATTAAATTAAGTGCTTAAACTATAAAAGTAAAAAGTATGATTGAAAAAATTAAGAACCTCAATTATAAAGGTAAAAAGTGAGGTTAAAAAAATTAGGGCCGTTAATTTTAAAGGTAAAAAGTGAGATTTAAAAATTAGGGGGCTAAATTATATAAGTCAAAATGGGATTGAAAAATTAGGTGCATCAATTATAAAAGAAAAAAAGTGAGATTAAAACATTAGGGGCCTCAATTTTAAAAATAAAAAACGAGATTGAAAAAATTAGGAGTTCAATTATAAAGACACAAAGTGGGATTGAAAAACTTAGTGTTATCAATTATAAATGTAAAAAAGTGGGATTGAAAAAAAAGGTGCATCAGTTATAAATATAAAAATTAGAATTACAAAAAGTTAGGGGTCTCAATTATAAAGATAAAAATAAAATGGCTTAATATCAAAATAAGTGCCCAAACTATATCGCTTTTTCCAAATAGGTGCCTAACTAGTTTTTGACTCATCCAAGTGCCTAATTTTACAAATGTTACTCATTTAGGTCCTCAGATCGTCAACGGTTTTAAATTTCTTCCTTCAGTGACACGTGTCACAATCTGGTAATTTTAAATTTTATTTTTGAAAAATATTAAAAATATTATGATATTTATTAAATAACACTAACATTTGCTATATTATAAAACAACCCAAAATCCCAAATTCTAACCTTAATATGTCGATGTCACTCTTTATGATCACGACCCCTGCCATTGACGTAGTCCTTACCATCCTCCTACTCATACGCCGTCGTAGTTTTCAACGATTGGTCGTCGGAATCGCGTGGGATCACAATTTTAATCCTAGGGTTTGCAGGATATAGAATGTTGATTCGTCGTCGATAGATCGTCGATCGGTCACGATTTCATGGGGCTTTTGGTCGGCGGGGGGAGGGGAGGTCGGGTGGAGCTTCATCGACTGCAAAAGGCGGTAGTCGGCGTGGATTTAGAGGTTGAAATGAAGGTTTTCAAAATTTTGGGTTTATTTCAAAATTTGTGTTTTATGTTTTTAATATATATATATATATATATTAATTTCAAATAAAATTTTAAAATGATAAGGTTGTGACACGCGCCACTTAACGGGGAAATTAACACCGTTGACTGTCCGAGCACCTAAACGGGTAACGTTTGTAACGTTAGGTACCTAGATGAGTCAAAAAATAGTTTAGGCTCCTATTTGGGAAAAGAGATTTAGTTTGGACACTTATTTTAATACAAAGAGGTTTAGTTTGGACATTTTAGTATTAAGCCAAATAAAATTTAAAAATAAAATAAAAACACTCAATTATAAATATAAAAAAAAAAGATTACGAATCCTATAAAAGATGGGGGCTGAGTGGCTGCTCAGGTACACCCCTAATAGTTGGCCCTGCCATCAAACTTATTTAGGGTATGGTGAATTTAATTTGAAATTTTTAATTTTTTTATAATTTTTTTGAGTTAATTTAATTTTTGAGTTTGTATTTATAAAATTGAATAACCTAAAAACAGAAAATTAAAACGATGTCATTTTAGTTTATAGCTTAGTGTTTTGATTGTTTTACGATTTGGTTCATATTTCAATTCCATCTTAGTTTTTTTTTTTCAATTTCATCCATCAACTTTAAATTCAAGCTGATCCTCTGACTGTAACTCTTTGCAAATTCTTCTTTTCCGATCAATGAAAAACAATAACTCTTTTTTTTTCAAAATCTCTTGGAAATAAAAAAAAAAAACCTTCAATACAAGCATGAAAGATTGCAAAACTGTCAGCAATCAATTCAAAGTTGCATGAATGAATGTAACAATGAATAATCAGAATGGCAAGATTCCCCAGATTTTTGCTGGCCATCTCAAGTATATACGTTACTACGGCAGAGTTTCCATTAGCCTATTAATAAGTACAACCATTACTAGTTAAATACTTCCGAGAGTTGCCTTCCTGTGGCCGTTCACCGGTTAGTCTATGCTTAGACCGTTAAACGGATAAACAGAGACACTTGAGGTACACACCAATAAAGTACGACCATTACCGACCTGCATAAGATCGATAAAACGTTTAAAATCTCACCACCTCTTAGCTTGCTTCAGCAGACATAATCTCAAGCTCAGCCCACCAAAGAGGAGAAAGTTTTGGTGTGGCACCATCAGGTGTAATTGCAGTGATCTCTCTCAACCTATTACTAACTTCTCTCATATTCGGTCTTTGTCCAGGTTCAGGGTGAACACAAGCTTTTATGACCTCACCAATGTCCTCAACTTGCTTCTTGTCAAAAGATTTTAGGGTAGGATCGATCGTCTCCACGAGGGCTTGCTCGTTTCTCAAATAGTGTGACGCCCAGTCATCGAATGAGCCATTGTCCACCATGTAAGGCATCCTACCTGTGACCATTTCGAATAGTAATACACCAAATGTGTAGACATTGCTTCCTAGTGTAGCTGGTGGGGTATCAGACAGGTTGGTGAAACATGGGTCTGAGATTTTGGCTGCATAGTCCTCTGTTAGAACAACAGCTGAGGACGAGAGGTTTTTTTGCGGTATCGGTGGGTTCAGCTGGTGCATGTGCTCGAGGCAGTAAGCCATCCCCAATATGATTCTCAGCCTCATCATCCAGTCTAAGTGCTCAGATTCTTGAACTGCAATATCAAGGCTACAATGTTAACAAACACCAAAGGGAAAGGTAAATGGCAAATGCCTGCAACCATTAGGTACTTACTGTGTAAATGCTCAAAGAGAGTGCCACTAGGGGCGTATTCAAAGACCATCATCCTAGTAAAAGGCTCATTTTCCTCGCAATATCCGAGAAGGTTGACAAAATTTTTGTGGTTCACTTTCGACAATGTGTCAATCTGAGAACATTAACCAAGAAATAGTTAAATCAAACCATAAGAACACATCAATGGAGTGTATCTACATGGATTCTAGCAGTACGATACCTTGTTTCTGAACTGTGTTTCCAAGTTCTTTGACCAATCTTTGGCAGATTTCGCTGGGAAAGAGGCCACTGCTATTTCAACCCCATTGGACAGTGTCCCTTTGTAGACAGTGCCAATTGTTGAAGAACATATTACATTGCTGAAATCTTCACAGGCTGCTTCCAGCTCTGATCTCTTCAGCTTCGGTACACCTGAAAATGAGTGCAATTTGATCATACATAATAAGGTGCAATCAACCCTTGAAATAACGTTGTCTAGCTTATAGTTTTGCAACGGAGTAGAAGAATTACCAGTCACAAATGCTTTCTGAAGCTTTCCACTTAACCCTGTTTTCCAAGGTTTCACAGGAGACACCTTGGATGTTTTAAAGAGATAAGCAATGGCTATTAATATCAGAAGACATATGGTACCCCCTATGGCTCCAGCCAGTATTGCAGTTTGATGATGTGAATTTGAATGGGATGGAGCAGAAGCATCAGGTGATACTTTCTTATCTGAAGGAGAAGGAGACCGAGCCAGAGTAGTGGACCATTGTTTCTTCTGAGGACCTCTTGCCAATGTACGATTTGCAGAAGGCTTAGAAGTTGAGGGAGCATCTCTTGCCGATGTACGATTTGCGGAAGACTTCAAAGATGGAGGAGAATTTCGACCTCGACGTGCAGCAGAATGTTCATTGAATAAAAGGTGTGATTTTGGTGGCATTGCAGGAATTGCCGGCATTTTCTGCACTAGTTTCCTTTTTGCAACATATTTAGATTCGCCTAGCTCCCTATCAGATAAATCAACAAGGTTTAAACAAAATCGATACATACTATAATACGAACACGACACAAGTACACGAGTTATTCTCAAATATGATGGCACACCTTTGGTTGCAAGTGGATTTAGTAGCCTCCAATGGTTGATCTAGAAGCTCATTATTGTCTACTAAGCTGCAACAATATGCAGAAAAAGTCATTAAAACTGATTTTGGCTTAGAAAATCTCCTTGAATCGAGGATTGAATTGTTCGAAATCGCCGACTTACAGAACTGTTAGTGACAAAGTGGAACCAAGTTGAAGTGGAATTAGTCCACTCAAGTTATTATATCCCAAGTCTAACACCTCTAATTCCTTCAGTTCTCCAATTCCTTCTGGGATTTTCCCAGTAAAACGGTTGTTCCTTAAATTTCTGGGGAAAATAAAATCACACTTCTGAATTGAAGAAAGTAAAAGCATGGACCTTGTTTTTGGTATATGTTATTCGGAAATGCGAGTGTCGAATACAAGTATGTATCAAACATGGATATAGTTATATTTTTTCCAAAGTTTTTTCATGTATTCAGAGATATGAGTAAAAATGAAGTCATAGGTACTTACATAGACTTGATGTGAGCTAGGTTTCCAAGCTCAGGTGCTAATGTTCCTTCAAGATAAAGATCTTTCAAGTTCCTGCATTTCAATCCCATCCATCAATTTTTTTCCTTTCTTTTCTTAGTAACCAAACACGAAAAGGGAAAGAAATACTTACAAAACAACAACTTTGCCATCATCAGAGCATTGGACACCAAACCAGGAACAATGGTCAACTTCTCCTTCTTCTTTCTTCCAATCCCACAAAGCACCAAATGGATCATTCACCACTTTCTCTTTCAGTCTCAACAAAGCCAACCCTGCATCCATCAACAGAACATCTTTTTTTCAACCATTTTCTCGAGAAACAAACAAAACCCAGAACTTAAAAAGAAAATAAGAAGAAGAGCAAGAAGAAGAAGAAAAGTTACCATCTTCACTCAACGACCAGCAACCCAAAGTTTGACATAGGAAAAACAGCACGATAACAACTCCAAAATCTTGTTTTAATCTTACAAACTTCCAGGTCTTGTTCACAATCATCTTCTTTCCTTGTTGTTTTGATATGGAAGCTTAATTCAAACACTGAGATGGAAGATATTAACGCAACCGAGAGAGTAGAAAACGCGTGCTGGTACACTAAAAGACTGTAGTGAATTGAAAGCTTTTCTCTTTGAAATTTCCAAAGGTTTCCTATTAACAGAGGCAAAGGCAGAAGTGATTGCCGGAAGAGAAGCTGGTAAAAATGAAAGGAAAAGCTGGCAAATTATCAATGGACAGTTGGGTTAAGTCATGACTGGTGGTCCATGGATGACTTGACTTGTATTCTATTTTAAATTAAAGAATAAATAAATTGATAGGTTAAAATGAAATATACAATGAATCACTACGAACTGGAGTGTTAAAAATCTAAAAATAATAATAAAAACTTGGAATATTGATTGAATTAGACTAAAAGGTTAATTATTAAAATTTATTATATATTATTATTTAATTATAATCATTTATAATTTATAATAAAAAGGAATGTTATTTTTTTCTTATAATTATAATTTCTTATCATTAAAGTGTGATATTCATATACATGTATATATCTTAACTATATTCAATTATTTTATTTAATAAATTCAAACATTAAATATGTGTTAATAATGATTATTTTATAATTTATGCGATAAATTATGCTTTAGTTCCTAATTTTTTTATTTTATTTTAGTTAGACTACAAAAGTTATAACATTAAAATTTTAATTAACGGTAAACTTTGTTACATATCAACATTAATAATGATATTTTAATATTAAAATTATGCATTTTATTAAAGTAATATAAATTCATATACAATAAATTTCTTGTAGTCTTAAATAAAAAAATATTATATATTTAAATACATTCAAAATTATTATTTTTATAATAAAAGAGATAATAATAATTGAAGTAAGACTCAATTGGGTATAATTTTCATTAGAAAGAGACAGGAAGATTTTATTAACCAACGGGATTGGTTCAAGTGGTTAGTAGCTTGATATCACTTAAGTAATGTTTCGGGTTCGAGTTTTTGTGTATGCAGAAAATCTCCGCTGAGAGACTCACCCACTAAAACCAGGTGTATAACTCGATTCAATCTAGATTAGTTAAGGTAAAACCTTAGAACCAAAGGGAAACCTTTACTTGTAAATTGCTTCATTAAATGCATATATAATAATCTAACACCTTATTATTTGTTATCGTACGTATATTATCAACTACTTACTAATTTTGTGTTAATGCAGCGTCATGACTTTCATAAAACTGTAAAAGTTTATTAAATTAACCAGTAATGTTATTATATATATGACATTGTCATACGTTCATTCATTGCATATGTGTACATATTAAACGTGAAATTAGATTTATTCGTATTTTAAATGCATATATTTTAACTAAAATTTAAAAATTATATATTTTTATTACCTAAACTTTTTAAAAATAAAATAAATGGAGTGAAAAGAGGGAAACATTGAAGGATTGAATGAAATAGTTTGGTGGTGCTTGGCTGGAATCTTTACTAAATCACATGCATACTTGAGAGGTTCATGTTCAAGTCAATTAATAAAATAAAGGGTAAACTAAGCATTTATGAGAGGTTCATGTTCAAGTCAATTAATAAAATAAAGGGTAAACTAAGCATTTAGTACATAAATTATAAGCTTTGATCCTTTTTAATATCTAAATTTTTAAAATTTCCAAAACAATACTTAATGTTTAGTTTTTTCTCCAAAATAATATACAACAACAACAACAAAACCCAATTCCCATATGCAATGGGGTAAGGGGGAGGTAGGGTAGTAGGCTGCCCCCAACGCCAGGTTGAGAGTACCTTCCGTGGAAGACCTCCGGCAGTCAGAAAATTAAAAATATAGATAAAATGCAATGCATGTATAAATAAATACATAGTTAAACAGTATTCATATGCAGTCATTAATATCATTAATATCATATGCGCGTCTGTAATGGGAAGTAATCCCTGCAAATAAATCCCTGCGAAAAAATATCTGCATATAGACAGAAACATAAGACCCGACTAAATTTAATAGTGAAGAGAATGATACACAGAAGTCAACGATAGGAAGCCCAGTTCTAAGCCTTCATAAATACCGATACAGAAACGTATAAAAAATAGAAGTCATGGAAATTACTACAAAGGCATTAAAAAAAGACAGAGATGATACACCCTATAGATGTGACCCACACTACTCGACTACCCTAATCTTAAGTCTCCATACTTTCCTATCAGAGGTCATGTCCTCGGTAAGGGCTAAATCCATCAAATAAGATCTCAAGCAGTCTTCCCACTTCCGCCTTGGTCGTCATCTCCTTCTGGCACCGTCGACTGTAATCGACTCTACCCTCCTGACCGCATCCGACGGTAGTCGCCTAAGGACATGCCCAAACCACCGTAGTCTTCCCTCCCTCAATTTTTCGGAAACAGACACCACCCTTAAGGATATCCTAATAGCAGAGTTTGTTTCCATATCCCACAGAGTCCTACCACATGTCCATCGAAGCATTCTCATTTCTGCGGCCTCTATCCTCCTTACGTGATCCTTCTTGATTGCCCAACATTCTGATCCATACAACAGCGCTGGTCTTATTGCCATTCTATAAAATTTTCCCTTAAGTTTTAGAGGCACCTTCTTGTCACACAAAACTCCAGTTGCAGCCCTCCACTTTAGCTATCCCGCCTTTATACGGTGTGTAACGTCATCATCTACACCCCATCTTTATGTATCATAGACCCTAGGTACTTGAAACAATCGTTTGAGGGGAGAACGTGTCCTTCTATGCATACTTCTACATCTTCATCATTTTGGTCCCCACTGAAGTTTGAACATAAATACTTTGTCTTTTCAATATTGATCCTTAGACCTTTTTCTTCCAAAGCAGTCTTCCAGGTAGCCAGTCTACTATTCAACTCAGATTTTGTTTCAGCAACTAAGACAATGTCGTCAGCGAAAAGCATACACCATGGTACACCGTCTGGTGTCGCACAATAGATGTCGTCCATAATCAAGGCGAAGATGTAAGGGCTAAGAGCCGACCCCTGGTGGAGTCCGATTTCAACCAGGAATGCCTCGGTATCGCCAACTGTAGTCCTGACGTATGTAGTAGATCTACAGTCCATATCACGAATCGCCCGGATATAAGCAGTTGAGATTCGTCTCGTTTCCAAAGTCTTCCAGATCGTATCGCGGGGAACACTATCATAAGCCTTCTCAAGGTCAATGAACACCAAAATAATATGATTTTTCAAATATATATATATATATATATATAATATTATTAATTTATCAAAATTTCATTTTCAGGACCATTTATAATAATTCAGAAATTTTAATGACAATTTTATAATATTTTAAATTTAGATGACCGTTTTATAATTTGGGAGATTTATAATAAAGATAATTATCTTAATTTGATTTACTCTTCATAATATTAAGATACGAGCATATTATTTAAAAAATCTAATATTCCACCCGATTAAATTAACATGTAAAATGAGTTCATTTGAAACGAAGTGTGGATTAATATTATTTTCAATTCTATCTTAGGGAGAGGAAGAAAATATTTTCAAGTCCTTTATAAATATAGAATTACAGATTGATACAATGATAAAATTACATTTTAATTTCCTCCTAAAACGTATAATTGAGTTTGAGAATTGATATCCATTTTTAGACATGGTCTAGTGCCTTTGGGAATTAAAGTCCAACAGCTATCCCCAGTTTAAAAGGCCAATTTCAAAACAACAAAATGAACACATTTTAGCCAGAGATCGGTGACAGCCATGGGAGAGGTCAATTTCAACCGGAAAAACCCTCTCAGTTGAGCCATGGGAAAGATCAGCTTGATTCTATCCGATTTCTTGAATTTTTCGGATTGAATTTGTTTCGGTTCTCGATTTTTTCGTATTAACTCTTGGTTTTCACGTTAGGACAATGCTATCTTCAATCACATATAAGACTTTGACAAGTAAATGGTCATTTGCTCATTGACAATGTGCATTCATAGAAACTTCAAATGAACCCTACTTGTGATTAGGTTCTAGTCCTTCTCAATATTATTTCGAGCTATCGGATAACTCTGCAGAGCATTTAACAGAAGAAAACAGTCATTAATGTCGATAGATCGACACAAAGCTTCTAAACTACTCATAAAACTTGCAAGCAAAATCTCTCAAACGCTTATACTACGGGTACAGGCCCCTATAGATCGACCCTCTGATACCGAAAGCAAGCAGCGACTTTTATCTCGGATTTCATGCAGCAGCTCCCTCGTGGAGGAGCATCTGATCAAAGTGCCACACCCCTGAACATACAAATTATCCAATGACCAAATAAGTTTACCGAACAAGTAACAAATTGTGAGACGGCGACAACAACAACAAAGAGAAGTTCAGTTTCATACCATGTCCTTTGCCAACTCTTCTCAACTGAGCCACATATTCTGATATTTTCTTGATGGCCTCCACCTGCATAGAAAGCAAGATCATGACCATCTGTTCTGATTTCGGCGATCGTGAACGAAAAAGGTCGAGAGTTGCATGCATACCTGCTCGGCTAAGTACTCGCTTTCAACGAAATGCGTCAGCTGCACATCATGGTTCCTCTCAGCCACCTGTTTCAGCAATGTGTTGGCCAATCAGCTCATTGACTTCATACTCCAAATCAATTAGATCTTAGAGTTTATCAACAGGTTGAGAAATCAAAAAGCTCGACCGGAACCGGATGGTTAATAGCAAAAGAGGGAAAAGTCTTACACCGTGCAAGTTCAATAGCTTTTCATTCGTTAGTTTCTCCAGGGACAAGGCAAGCTCCATTGCTGAACCAAGTAATTGAAACCGACTTATTAGACGTTATCACAACAAAATCTACAGTTCTGAGGAAGTAACAACAGCCTAACGCATCGTTTCAGTTTCTAACATATGTAACAAACATCGAATATACAAATTTCCATACATATATGGTTGCAAACATGAATCCACAGTTCATTGTTTTGTTTATGTATGCATAACATCATAGAGTAACAGCAACCGAAATCGACTTATCAGACAGATAGACACTATCATGCAGTCCGATTAGGCATTAACAGTGCATGTTGACACGATGACTTATAATAAACACATCAGACATCCAAATTCAACTCACCATATAAGGCATCTCCTTTCTCTACATGATAAAACTCCGAGAAGGGCATCAGTATGGACTGCAGCTTCACTTTTCCGCCTCGCTTATTCTGTGAAAATAGAAGGAGAATAAGGAAATGATATTACATGATAAAGAATAACAACACCGACAACAGCATAGACAAATAACCTGGTATTCCATCAATTTCTCAGCATGTTCTCTCTCTTCTAGGCTAGATTCCTTAAAGAACCTATTCAAAGAAAACCTATAATTAGCTCAGTTCCACCAAAAAGGGTACCAAAACTGAGAAATTTCAGCAAGAATTACTTGGCAAGGCCTCTGAGCGCAACGTTGTCCCTGTCGAAGTAAGCGAACATAGCATGGTACACATAGGAAACATTGTACTCCACACTGTCATTTCATAAACAAATACAAATTGTGTAAGATTTAAGACCAAACATAAACGCGCATACCATAATCCACGATAAAAGAAACATGAATTGAAGATCAAATCATAAAAAAGAAAAAGAGAAGCCAACTTGATTTGTTCATTGATGGCGGCTTCACATTCATCCGAATACTTTTGACGAGCCAGGGACACTTGAGGCTGAGATGGGACCAGATCAAACTCCTTCTTCACTTCCTCAAAGGGCTCGAAAATGACACCGGTTAATGGGTTGCTGTTGGCTCCTTTGGTCGCACAAACAACGGAACCGAACCCAGACCCAGACCTGTTTTTTGGACAAGATAGAGAGGAAAACAGGAGTACCCGATTCTCCACAGTCGGATTCTTCAACAAAGAAAAAGCAGGGGAAGCTTTCAACAACATGGCTAACAGAAAAGGAAGCTTTTTGATGAAAAGGGTGAATAAAAACAGAGACTTTAAAACAAACAATTGAAGGAGAAGGAGATGGGTGCATGAGGGACGGCGGATCAGCAGAGGAATAAAAAGGATGGGTAGGGATGGTAACGCCATTGGATGGAAGACACGTGGACGATGAAGATGAGGAGGTGGAAGGTGGGAGTGTGGCAGGCTCGTGGAGATATCCCATTTGTGATCTTAATGGCTGCTTGTAACTATTTACCGTTTGATTCTTAGTCTGATTGTCCTTTTGCCCTCAAAAGTTAAAGAAAAGGACAAAGAAGATGGAATATTGTTAATGATGCAATTCTCTCTCTCTCTCTTTCATTTATAAATCATCCTTTTCAAAGAGATTGTTATTAAAAATTGCTCTTTTATTTATGCTATTGTGATCAATTTTAAAAAATAAGGATAGAATATGTCGAAAATGATTATTTAATTGTGTAGGAGTATTTGACAAATAGATGTCCCTTTTAAAAAAATTAAGGATGGAATAGATCTAATTTCTCTTACATTAATGTTCTTTATATGATAATTGAATAATCTTAACACATTGAAAGTTGTTTTCACTTAAATCAGAAAATTATCTAGCATCGTTTCCCCCTTTTCTGTTGCTGTTTTCAATGGATACCATAATTTAGGGGAGTAAAACTTGACTCAATTCGAAGATTTGAATTTTTTCGATTCGACTCGAATTGACTTCGAGTTGTAATTTCATAAAGTCGACTCGACTCGAAAATTTTCAAGTTCAAATTAAGTTGTAAAATAAAATTCGAATAATTCAAAATTTTTAGCAATTAGTTGACTAAATTTTAAGTTTAAATCGAGTCCTCAAATTTGTGATATGTATCGCATATGAAAAAAATGAAAAAAATACATGTGTATATATGGTTATAAAAACCCATTTAAATTGTAATAAAATAATATCATAATATTATAAATATTTACAATTAAATTTTAAATAGTAACTCAAAAACTTGACTCGATTTGAATTTTTTTTAAATCAACTTGAATTATTAAATAAAACTCATTAACTCGAATGACTTGACTCGACTCAACCATACCATGGTTAATTATTTGTTTTTTAAATGGTGAGATGTGTTGGAAAAGAAAGGCATCCCAAGAAAAGTGATGGGGAAAGTATCTTTCAGAAGTAGAGGGCGTGGCAAATGTCTATTAGACTAACATTTTCATTATGTTGATAAGTGGAGGCCTTTCACTTTTCACTAAGATGTGTGGATTTTTTGGGCTCCATAAATATTTATTTATTACAGATTTGACATCATAATTGAGGACTTACGACGGACTCCGGCTGTCCCGTATGCCAGAATAGTACACGGATAACCTATTACATTCTTCGGGATTGCTCCACCACCCGTATGGTGTCGGTGTGGACGCAAATCATCCCGCCTCATCTGACAGGGAGTTTCTTTTCCCTTAATTTTCTCCATTGGTTGAAATCTAATCTAAATCCTTCGTTGACTTTCAGGTTGATGTGTATTATTGGATTATGCTGTGGAGACTATGGAAGCAACGTCGCAGCTTTGTGTTCGAAGGCGAGATCTGGACCACCCAGGCCATTATCCGCTTCGTAAAGTCTAGGGTTCAATCCATCAAAGCGAGGCACTCGTCTACCCTTCCAGGTGCCAACCATAGGAACAATAATCAGGTCTGGAAGCCCCCCGGTTCATAGAACAGTCAAGCTTAACACCGACTGAACCGTGAACCAAGCCAAGATGGAAAAACCCGAAGGCGGCATATTTCTCAATTTGGATGGAGTTTGTCTCTCCGGATATTGTCCCAGCTTTGTCATTGTTCTATTCTCCACGCCGAGGGTTCAAACGTATAACAGTTGAGATGGACAACAAAGAAGTTGTCTGGATTCTGTCATCTCCCGTGTCCTCCTTCGCCATTGGCAGATCACCTTTAAATATATCCAGCGTGAAACGAACGACGCTGCTGACGATAGCTCATCTAAATCATATGTCCCCTCTTGACCGGTCGGACTTTGACTACCCGTTTGCCAATATTCATCGCCTACTCCACCTGGACATGGACTAGTGGAGAAGGAAGACTCTTTGCTATTAACTCAGCCTTCATTTGTAAAAAAATCATGTGTAGTCATAGACAAGTTGTAGAATCACATATTATGTATACAACAATAGATAAGTTGTATAATCCCAAATTAAGTATTTAGTAATAGACAAGTTTAACTCTAGCATATTGGCCTTGGTTCCCAAAGTACCTAATCCATGTATGTAGTCATATCTTGGTCGGCTAGCTTTTCGCAGATTATGCATATTGCTCATCTCTACTTTTTATTGTCGAATCAAATTGAAACCGATTGAATTCAAATCAAATATTCATCTTAACAAGAACTTCATTGTAAACACGCCAGTGTAGCCCATTTGATGCATAGACCTTGTCCAAAAGTTATCCTACAACCTTAGGAATGCTTCAAAGTTCCAATGATTGTCAAAAGTATTTGGGCTGCTTCCTTAACCTTTTGGTCTATTTTATTAGGGCTTCATTTGAGCCGACATTACTTTCACATTCAATTTGAGGCTTTATATGCCCAATTATGGCACATTTCCATTGTCATTTTGTCAAAATAATCAATTACTACACATTGAAATACCCCTTAGTTGCATAAATCAAGTAGCCTATGTGGTAAAAGAATTATTGTTATTATTTGAGAATTTAGGTTCAAGCACTATAAATGCCTTGTGTGTAAACGTTCAATCTCAAAAGGTTGCGAGTTATCTTTAAACAGATATTATCTTATATTTACTATAGATTAATTAAAAAAAATACTCTTTAGTTTTCTTATTTCTCTTCTATCTTATGAGGTTATTTTTCTTTATTGTTTAAAAGGTTGATATCATCAATCACTACACCAATGACTACTATGCTTTGCTATAACCTTTTTGTATTCTTTTAGTTTATTTTCTCTTTAAGATTGGATTAGTTATAGTCTCTTCGATAAATATTTATTAAATTTTATTCCTTATTTCTAAAAAGAATCCTATTTCTTTTCTAAAATCCTATTTTGATTGTATAAAATTCAAATTAAATTACAGAATAAATTAAAATATCTGTAATAATATTAATAATATAATAATTAATATATATTATATATAAATATATAAATAAAATATGCGTTATATCTATAACTAATTACATACTTCATAGTTATATCTATAACTAAGAATTATTTGATTTATTAGTGAACAAGGAAAATATCATCTAGGCAAGTAAATAGATTGATATTAAAACAACGATTAATTACTATTGCTATAAAACAAGCTCGTATTTTTATCTTCGTTACCCTTTCTTAATAATGAGAAACAATTTGAAAGAAGTGAGTCAACCGCTATAACTACTGCTCTTAGAACCATAAATAAATAGGCTTACCCCTTAAATTAATTCAAAAGTATAAACATAGGTTGATGCTTTATTCAAAAAATATGATAATCAAAATTGCTGTGTCTTAAGAAAAAATAAATAAATAAATAAATAAAAGAATCGAATCCGGTTAGAGAAGAAAAAGAAATCATTTTTTATTGAGCGTTTTCACTCATCTTGTTTTGATGACTTTATCAGAATTTTTTTTATCATATTAATTTATACTCTTCCTTCCCCGAGTTCATTCTCTAGGGAACCTATTTCATTTAAAGCATTTCGTTGGATTCCTTCTGATATCCTTATTTTATAATCTAGTTGGAAATCATATAAAGACAATTCCTATTTGAGATAGCTATTTGTGCAAGTATTTTACTATTAAGAAGCAATTGTTTCATGTACAAATTGTGTATCAATCTACTATAGCTATAGGATACCCATATTTCGCGAATTACTACATTTATTCGAGTAATCCACAAACACGAAAATCTCTTTTTTTTCTATCTCTATCCCGATGAGCTGAAACCAAAGCTCGTATTCTTTGTTGAGTAATAGTTCGAGTAAGTCTTGAATGAGCCCTCGAAAGCTTGATGCAAATTCAATTTTAACCATCTAATTTAATAAACTTGTAATTCAACCCCAATTCAATATTAAATTCCAAAAATCGGCAAACCAATACAAATTTCCAGCATTACCATAATTTACACAAATGATACTCTTACATTTAATAACTTGTAAACAAGTCCCCTATTTTCTTGGACTTTTTGAATTCCACCCCAAATTTTACCAAATTTTGAAATTTGATTCTAAATAACTTTCCAATCTTAATTTTCCAGCATCTCAATATTAAAAATTAACATTGAACACACCAAAACTCATATTTAAACAACCATGTCCCCCAATTCTTAAAACTTGTAAAATAGCCCTTTTACATTTTCAAGGTTCCAAATTGATCCAAATCAATCTCCAATTCACAAAGAATACTTCTAATATCATTTCTAACCGATCGGAAATTTTTCAATAACCCCCCCCAATTTCTTCCCTATGGTCGAATGCTTCATGTCACCTAAGGGGGGTTGTTTGTTCAATTTCAAGTATGAATTCAACCTCCTATGATTAAATTTGTGCATTTCCAATCATCACAACATCAAATTGAATCAAAATCCCATCATTCTCACAAACCCTAGTATGTCCAAACCTTATATATGCATGTACAAATAATTTTAATCATTATACATACTTTAAAAATAATCACCAAACCCTCCCTAAACCCTAATCATCTAATCTCAACACACAAGCGTCTTCACCTAACAATATTGGTACCAAATGATAGAGAATTTCATGTCAGTTAATTTTTTTGAAAGATGATACTTTGTATTAAGAAATGATACAAAGTACACCACCACCATGTCCTCATTAAAAAACCTCTCTATCCCTAAATGGAGGAAAAAGAGTAAACTATGGGGTGGTAAAGAAATTGACACACGAATACTTACAGTAAACAAACCAACCCCCTGCCTACCACAATCCTCAATCCAACATGATAGAAAATCAGACTTCACATCCCAAATAAAACATAACGACTACACGAACAAGGAACAACTTCCTGTACTTAATCACTAGCCAGCACTCAGAAATGGGAGTGCTCAGTTGCTGCAACATAACCGAATAAGAATGTTTGGCATCACGCACATCAATCCAAAAAGCATCCAGAATATAGGTTCGAATTCAACAGGATCACACAATGCATCCAAAGAAGATATCACCCTTACTACAGAAGGATCCTCCGGCCTCAAGCACGGACATAAACATAAACCAGGTAGTGGACTACTCGAGTCAAACAAGCTATCCCAATACCACCAGAATTGAAGTTTACTGAGACTGAAGACATATCATGAAGCATCAGCGCCGAACCAGTGAGAAGACAGTAGATTTTGGAGCGACCAAGCGAACTAAATCATGAAACTATCGAATCCAGTAAATACCACATGCATAGTCATAAATCTCGCCCACAGATACCAAAATCAGGACAGCTCACGAAATCAAGAACATTGGGAACCAGTGACGGCCATCAGAACTTAGCCCAAAACCCAACCACTACTGAAAACTCCTCGCATATCTAAAGAGAGCAGAATCGGCGAACATAGATATTCTGCATGAGAAATAAGGAGAAAGACAGCACTGAACTATCGAAACCAGACACAATACTGAAAATTGAATAAAATTAGCCCGAGATAATGGAATCTGGAGTACGCACAAAATCAATCACGTGAGGAACCAGAGACGGCCATAAAATCTTAGCCCAAAACCCGACCTGCAATAACACCAGATTGAAAATCCTATCAGCTGTGAAAGAATCGCCATTGAACCTAGACTTATTCCTACACATAGTGGAGGGATCAAAAGAATAATTTGACTAATTTTTAATCTACACAACAGAGAGAAGTTATGGAGAATGTTGTAAGACAAGATTAAGATGATATGGTCAACTCTAGCAATTGAGAAGTGAAGTAAACAAGAGTTTTCCTTAATTACACAACATTAATAAAATATATTCGAATTATAGAATTATATCGGCTTCAGCTCATGGCAGCAACACCACAAATCAATAAGCAGCGGCGGATGTAAATTGTTTTCGGGGTAAGTTTGTGTTTACCTTGAAATCTGAATTTTCTTCGATTACTTATTGTTTTTATTGAATATGCTCACCCTGAAATTTTATTTGTGTCCACTCTGTATAAAAATCTTGTAATATTAATATATGTATGTCACCCTAAAAAATATTTTTGTATCCACCCGTATCAATAAATCGTTGCTTTTATTTGTCATGACTGAGTTTTGTTCTATTACATCCATTTTAGCACACATTTCATTCTCTTAAAACGGATGTATTAGCCCAAATCTTTGACAAAGTATCATTCCATGATAAAAAAAAATTTAAACGTTTAGGGGGCGACTACCCCACATGCCCCCTCAGTTCATCCTTACTTTTATGATACCATATTTTCATTCTAATTTTTCATATAAAAATCACACATTACTATGAGTAATGCTATAGCTTTAAAATTCAAATTCATTCATTTTAAAATTATATTTGACACTCGTAAGGCATGGTAGGTTTAACAATAAGTTTGTTTTATTTAACGTTTCACACATGACAAACAACACGATGTATGCATTTTTATTGTGAAATCCCCTAACTAATTTTGTTCTATGTGACTACAGTTATTTTATCACGTGGCAAGAAGACTTTGCATTATACATAATATAAAATATTTATCGAATTATGTGGCCGTCCAATAAAATTTTGACACATTGACGGGTCATGGTGCAATGAGATTCCTATATAAGCGCATGGTTCTATAATGTTTCTCACCTCTCAAAACCATCAAAGCAAACTCATCGGCCGAATCATGTCTGTCCAGTCCGACGACCCCCACCCGCCCTTCGATCATCAAAGCCGTCCGTTCCCATCTCCTACCCAATCAAGACCCTTCAAGAACTTGACTCTCGCTCTTACTTCTCTTCTTTTCATTACCCTTTTAACAAGTCAAGTGTTCCTCTCGACCAAACTCAGCTTCGACTCAGAGGCCTAGGGTTTTGGTTTGCCATGACATGAAAGGCGGTTACTGGACGACAAGTGGGTCCAGGGTGGAGATAACGCCGATGCCTATGCTATAGCTTTAAAATTCAAATTCATTCATTTTAAAATTATATTTGACACTCGTAAGGCATGGTAGGTTTAACAATAAGTTTGTTTTATTTAACGTTTCACACATGACAAACAACACGATGTATGCATATTTTTATTGTGAAAAATCCCCTAACTAATTTTGTTCTTATGTGACTACAGTTATTTTATCACGTGGCAAGAAGACTTTGCATTATACATAATATAAAATATTTATCGAATTATGTGGCCGTCCAATAAAATTTTGACACATTGACGGGTCATGGTGCAATGAGATTCCTATATAAGCCGCATGGTTCTATAATGTTTCTCCACCTCTCAAAACCATCAAAGCAAACTCATCGGCCGAATCATGTCTGTCCAGTCCGACGACCCCACACCGCCCTTCGATCCATCAAAGCCGTCCGTTCCCATCTCCTACCCAATCAAGACCCTTCAAGAACTTGACTCTCGCTCTTACTTCTCTTCTTTTCATTACCCTTTTAACAAGTCAAGTGTTCCTCTCCGACCAAACTCAGCTTCGACTCAGAGGCCTAGGGTTTTGGTTTGCCATGACATGAAAGGCGGTTACCTGGACGACAAGTGGGTCCAGGGTGGAGATAACGCCGATGCCTATGCCATATGGCACTGGTTTTTGATGGATGTTTTTGTTTATTTCTCTCACTATTTGGTCACCTTGCCTCCGCCTTGTTGGACCAACGCTGCTCACAGGCATGGAGTTAAGGTCAGTTGCTAAATTACCTTTTTAATAATTCAAAAAACTAAGTTGGATGATGTATATGTGTGTGTATATATATATCAAATCTGGTTATTAATCTTTATGCTATTTTCACATTCAATTATTTAATTTCGTATTATTTGAATTTTAAAATTTTAGTTATGATTAAAACATAATGACCTAATCTAATCAACATGGAAAACGAAAATTAAATATACGACTTATGCATAGTACATGAACTAATAATGAAAATTGATTCACTTAACGACTATAGTTGAATCAAAGTTAAAGTTTGAAAAATATATAAGAATGACCAAATTAGTTATAGGGACTAAATTCATAAATTACCCAAAGTATAAGAGATGGTGAGAAAATTTAACCCTTTTTACATGTTACTATTAATGAATGACATGAACAGTGATGACACATAAAAAATGAAACTAAATTACCTTTATTTTTAAATTATATCTGGTTTATTTGAACTAAATAAAATTATGACATCAAATATAAATGGTACGAGAATAAATTTAACTTTTAACGTTTATGTTTTTTTTAACAAATTAGTTCTTATTATTTTTCTAAAGAAAAACGTTAACTACAACGTTAAATTTTTCATATTTTTGAAAGTGACAATCCACACAATTATTTATCTTATATATCACGCATTAAACAATTATAATATAAAATGTTAAAATTAAAAAAAATTTAAAATATTACAAGAAGAATATTTTTTTTAATGAGATTCATGGTATATAAATGCATTGTCATGTGAGTTCTAAGTCAATGACATTAAAATTTTAATTTTTTAATTAGTATTTTTATATGAAAAAAATGATGAAGTGGTTTATTATTAGAAAAATAATTAAAATTTGTTTTTGTCATTTCCTTTTTTATTGTATAATAAACTTTTTATAGAAATATATTTTAAATATTTTGAAATAATTTTAAATTATTCATATATAAGTTTTGAGATCAGTTCTTTTTCCCCCTTTTAATTATTTACTTTTGTATGTTAATAATTTATTTTACATAAAACCTTATAAATAATGGTGACTGATTAATTTTAAATAAAATCAATTTAATTTCAAGATATATATATATATATATATATATATATATATATATATAAAAGAATTACCAAGTTTAAAAATTATTAATTTTACTTGAAATTAATGTTTATATGTTAGTAAATTTATTTCTTGCATTATGATGTGTTGAAGACTAATGGAGCTTTCTATATATCACATTGCCTATGGCTCTGGAAACTAAGGTATTAGGGACGTTTATCACCGGAGATCCGGACGGGTATGCTATCTGCCACGAAATGCTGTCGACCAAGGAGTCTGCTCACAAGTATGCTGAGCGCTTGACAGAGCTTGCTGTTGCTTTGGGCTTTGATGGCTGGCTGGTATGCGAAACCCTAAACCTGAAGTCCTAAATCTTGAGCTCGTTAAATGCGAACCTCAAACATTTTGGACAACAGAAATGTTTAATGCTTTGTCCTATGTCACTAGATAATCTTGTAATGCTTACTTGCAGCTCAACATAGAGAATAACATTGACGTCAACCAAATCCCGAATCTGAAAGAATTTATCAGCCATTTAACTGAGACCATGCACTCCTCGGTTCCTGGTTCATTGGTTATATGGTTCGAGAATCCAAACTCAAATCATGCAAATATGTTTTGGAACATATGTTGTCACTTTTATTTGATTAATGTTGTTGGTTGCTCAGGTATGATACCGTTGCAATGGATGGTTACATTAGCTATCAGAATCAACTGAACGAAGTGAATAAACCTTTCTTTGATGTTTGTGATGGAATCTTTACCAACTATTGGTGGCAGGTATTGCTGTTTAAGCTATCGGAAACGTAAGTCTACTTGTTGCTGTATATATGAACTTTTCTGTAAATTGCAGGAGGACTATCCGGAGAAGTCCGCAAAGGTGGCCGGAGATAGAAAGTTCGATGTCTACATGGGGATCGACGTATTCGGAAGGGGAACGTATGGTGGGGGAGGATGGCATGTACGTTTCATGCGAATCTTACGCCATATTTTTTATGCCATTGTGAATTTGTGATGTATATATATATCTTCCTCCGACAGACAAATGATGCACTTGATGCAATAGTAAAGGGTGATGTCTCGGCTGCCATATTTGCTCCCGGATGGGTTTATGAAACAAACCAGCCCCCAAACTTTCAGACTGCACAAAACCAGTATGATTTTTTCCCCTACGTGTGCTTTGCTCATATGATGTTTTGGATTATCTTAACAGATATGGCTTTTCGCAGTTGGTGGGGTCTGGTAGAGCAATCGATGGGAAATGTTGTGCAGAAATATCCTGATGCACTACCATTCTTTTCGAACTTTGATCAGGTTGCAACCAACTCGAATTCATCTCGCTCGAATTCTGATCGCCTGCGTATTGACCATGTTTTGAATTGTTCAGGGCCGTAGTAATCATATTTCCGCCGACGGAGTACTAGTGTCAAGCACTAAGTGGAATAACATTTCTTCACAAACCTTTCAGCCTTTCGTGGTGTATGCAGATGATTCTACTCCGAATACTATTGATGTTCTTGTGGAGTAAGTTTACACGATCCATTGCATCGACACCATTTCTTCATGTATATATGAAGTTTGTACTTACGTATATAGATGATATAATGGTAGTTTCATGGAAGCGTCCTTCGGCGGAGGAGGAAACCTCACCTTTCGAGGAACTCTCAAAGCCGATGCCACGTTCTCGACTAGACTATTTTTGGGACAAGTTGTTATGGATGGCTTGCCGGTTCACTTCACATACTCTGTAAGCTATCTTCACTTATTGCTTTGCATTGTGACTAAATATTTTGATAATGGTATTGTTTTGTATTCCTCTGCGTCAGGTAAAATCACAAGGTAACTCTGTATTGGGGCTTTCTCTTACATTCTCTTCGGAAGCGGGAGGAGAAACGACTTTGGTTGTTGCATCCCGGGGAACGAACAGATTCTCGAGCGAATTTAGTGACATGATCGTGCCACATCGACTTACAAAGCCAGACAATGCTCTGGGATGGGACATAGAAGAGTTCACCATTGCAATGAACGGACACACTTTGAAAGAAATCCGGGCTGTATGCTTCACTGACCAGCCTGGAAACACGAATCCGGTCGAATACCTTGCGGTTCTCGGGCATATTAAGATTTCAACTTCGGACAAGCCTACTGAGTTCCCTCCGTCTACTTCCTGGATCGTCGACGGACAATACATCGAATGGGGAGGTTCTCCAGGTTCCAAAACACTTAGTCTGAAAATTAGTTGGAAACTGAAAGATGGAAAGAACCCTCCTTACCAGACATACAATATCTACGTCGAGAAACAACCGAAACAGTCGATCCGAGCTCCGGGAAGAAAGGTTGAAGGTGAACGAGAGTACATCGGAGTTGCACATGTAGAAGCCTTCTATGTATCTCAACTTGCCATCCCTTCAGGTACTTCCAGCCTCAAATTTATCATTCAAGTGTGCGATGTTGATGGTGGTAGCCAGAAGCTCGAAGATGCTCCATTTTTTCAACTCAATGTTTGAAGCTCAATAAAGGGTGCCACTTTGGCTTACCTATGAATGTAAGCAGCTGTATCCTTATAATAAACTATAAATAAATGGCTTACCTATGAATGTAAGCAGCTGTATCCTTATAATAAACTAAGAATAAATGGCTTACCTATGAATGTAAGCAGTTGTATCCTTATAATAAACTATAAATAAATGGCTTACCTATGAATGTAAGCCATTGGATCATAAATGTATTCTATTTATTAAGTAATTCTAAGACCTTTGAACATCACACACACGTACATATATGATCAGGTTTCTACAATGATTGTTTAGATATCATTATCATAAGTTAGAAGCTCAGGATTGATATATGTCTTCTCTCGATGGCGACTTCTCGGCGGTTAAGGGGTAAAAAGTCTCATTATTAGTAGATAACAGAGACATGCATCTTAACTCGTTTGATCAATTAATGTAGTGAAATTGTTTTTCACTTCAAAATATAGTTGATGCAACTCTTTGAGTGTGGTGGCATAGATGCTTGATAGAGGTGCTAACCAATTTTTCCGTTCATATGTTTGGGTCGTTGCTTTGACTTTGGTTGCTTCAAGTCTGAATTAGGGGTAAGTGAAGAGGGCATGCTTCGTGAAAGAAATGCCCTGAATGACAGCACCTTCCCGTCTCTAATGCTCGTTGGAAGAGTAATCCAATTGTGAGAAGAGCACATCATGTTGTTTGCACCGCCTTTTGAGGGGTCTTCGATCGTACATGTAAGCTCTACAACTCGATCTATAGGTTCCAAAAAGAGACTTGTTGAGAACATGGCATCGGCTTCGAGACTCCCTCGAAAGGTAATGGGATCGTTTTTCAGTAGTTTCACGGATGCATCATTCTGCGGCAGAGAATTACCCGTCCAGCTTAGTTGGTAAGAGCGCAAGGCTCTTAATCTTGTGGTCGTGGGCAATTCATAATTCTGATTGTCGGAGGTCTCCCACGAAAGTTGCTCTCAACCTGACGTAAGGGGCAGCCTACTATCCTACCTTCCCTTACCCCATTACATATGGGAATAGAGTCAGCTAATTTTTTTTATGGGTGGCTTGCCGGTTCACTTCACATACTTTGTAAGCTATCTTCTCTTATTGTTTTACTTCGTGACCAAATATTTCATAATGTAACCATTAATGGTATTGTTTGGTAATTCTTTGAGTCAGGTAAAATCATAAGGTAACTCTCAATTGGGGCTTTCTCTTACGTTCTCTTCCGAAGCGAAAGGAGAAAGAACTCTGCTTCTTACTTCCCGGGGAACGAACCGAATCTCGAGCTAATTTAGTGACGTGATCGTGCCACATCGACTTACAAAGCCGGACAATGCTCTGGGATGGGACATAGAAGAACTCACCATTGTAATGAACGGATACACATTGACAGAAATACGTGTTGTATGCTTCTCTTATCAGCCTGGAAACACGAATCCGGTCAAATGCCTTGTGGTGCTCGGCCATGTTAAGATTTCAACTTCGGACAAGCCTACTTAGTTCTTTCTATCTGCTTCCTGGATTGTTAACAGACAAGACATCGAATAGGGAGATTCTCAAGGTTCCAAAACACTTAGTCTGAAGATTAGTTTGAAACTGAAAGATGGAACCTTCCTTATGAGACATACAATATCTTAGTCGAGAAACAATTGAAACGTTCGATCCGAGCTACGGGAAGAGACGTAGAAGGCAAACGAGAATACATCGGAGTAGCACACGTAGAAGCCTTCTATGTATCTCAACTTGCCATCCCTTCGGGTCCTTGCTGCCCAATTTCCTCGTTTTGAACCGAGAATTAATGTTAAACATAATTTATATTATTCCGTTAATCAGAATTGATGAATTAGGATATTAACTCAACATCATATATTCCATGGCTTTTGATTGTAATACGTTCACGGAGTGGCTTCTTCTTCTTCGAGAGAAGATTAAATTGAAAATTTTAATTTAATTAATATTATTTTAATCATATATTGATATAATTATAATAATAATAAATTTCATATCATACATAAATATTAATAAAATAAGTCATGGTGATTAAAATAAGAGCAATTCAAAAGTTGAGTGATTAAATTGAAATCTTTTAAAATTTAGTGACAAAAATAGAATAGAGAATATAGCTGAGTGATGAATTTATTGACAAAAATAGAAAAGACATGATGGTTGAATGATTAATTGTATAATTTACCCAATTTATAACAGCATGAATTAACGAAGCCGTTGGTCAATGAAGGAAAACATTGGTCAAATGACCACTTTAGATTTTTTTTTGAATTGGAGAGCCACATTAGTTTTTTTGAAAGTATAGAGACTTTGCATGCCCTTTTGTCAACTTTGAATTGTTATTGTACCAACTCACACCGTTATTCTAATATACTCCATACTAAACAACCCAGGATCTATTTATAATAATATCATAATCGAGTGATTTAGAAGAAAAGCAATATGTCTGTTGTTGAACCGATAGTTAAGTGACCTTGAGTGTAATTTTTCCAAAGAGAAGAAAAACGTGTTTTTCCTGGCAAACTCGTGTGTCACACTTGCTATCGCCACTTGCATCATTATCTTGTTCTTCTTTATTGCACATCAGTTTCTGGTTGGTTTGCTATTTATTCGTTATATGTGAAATCATGGTTTTATCGGGGGACTTTTGCAGTAACCACAAAAATGAGCTGACCCTTATTTTTATATATAATGAGGTAAGGACAAATAGGATAGTAGACTGTCCTCAATGCCAGGTTAAAAGCAGTTTTCGTGGAAAACCTCCGATCTGTAGGACTCGATCCTACGACCACAAGATTAAAAACCTTGCGTGCTACCAACTGAGCTGGCCGATCATTTTAGCGGCAACCACACAAAACTAATATTTATTAATACACATGGCATTGAAACTATTGGTGGGGCATATAAAGAGGGATAGAAGATTTTGTTGTTAGCATGGTTTTCATAACCGAATCGGTTAACGAACCGATCATGCTATCGGTTAACGAACCGGTTATGTTATCGGTTTACTGGTTTAATCGATCGAACCGGTCCGACTGGTCGGAAGAACCGGACGACATCATAATTATTTAAAAAATTAAATAAAAATACCAAAAATATTTAATAAAATTTTTTTATATCACAAGTCATATTCAAAGCAAGTCATAACATATATAAGTTAAAAACCATAAAATCAAGTGAAACAAAATGATTCAAATTAACTACAACATAATATTTAAGGTAAAACATATTAAATAATAAATATAATTATATAACTATAATTAAAAAATAAATTTGGGGCTAAAAAAATCATAACAAAATGATATTATTTGGTTTAATTTTTTAAAAAAATAATCTCACATGGCTAAGAAACATAGAAGAGCATCCCAAAAGTCTAAAGAGTAAAAATATGAGAACAAAACAATCTCACATGGCTAAGAAACATAGAAGAGCATCCAAATTAACTTCAATAAATAATAGAGGTAATTTGACATTCAAAATCATGGAGCCTTTTGGTGAGCATTGAGTGAAATATTTTTTCACTTCAATCAAGCTCGAATTTTAGGTTTCAATCGAACTTCTAATTTTTTTTGAGTTCAAGCATTTTCGAGTTCAAGTTTCAATATTATATTTCGAGTTCGAGTTGAACTTGATAATTTTTAGCTCGTGAGTTTGAGTCGAGTTGAGCTTACTTTTAAAGTTTTCAAGTTCGAGTCGAGCTCAGCAATACTCAAGTTCGACTTGGCTCGTTTAACAAACGACGTTGTTTGGTTTAATTTTTTTTATAAAAAAACAAAATTGGCGGTTTTTTTTGGTTTTTTTCGATTTTTTCGGTTTTCAGCCAGTCCGGTTCGAACGGTTCAACGGTTCTGGCCGGTTCACTAGTAACGGTTCAATCGGTGTAGATTGAACCGGACTAGGCAGTGGTTCCCGGTTAAACCGGTTGAACCAGCCGGTACGGTCTGGTTTTCAAAACACTGGTTGTTAGGTTGTTATTAGGGTGAGTAAAACTAGACTACTCTAAAATTTAATTCTATTCAATTTAAAAATTCAACTCGAATTGATTTAGAGTTGTAATTTCATAAATTCGATTTGATTCGAAAAAATTTCAAATTCAAATCGAGTCGTACGATGCAACTCGAATAACTCAAAATTTTTAGTAATTAGTAGATCTATTTTCAAGTTTGAGTCGAGTTCTTAGATTTCGTATAATATATTTATATCACGTATGAAAAAATAAAGAAATATATTTATATTATATATATGATTATAAAAGTAGCTTAAATTATAATCAAATAATATTATAATATTATAAATATTTACAATTAAATTTAAACATAAACTTGAAAAATCAACTCAACTCGAAAAATTTAAAGTTAAATCTGAATTGTAAAATAAGATTTATAAACTCAAATAAATCAAAAAAATTTTACTCGACTATATCTGACACTCACCCACAGTTGTTATTAGACATTAAATGTAAACTCGACTCGACTCAAAAACTCGCGAGCCTAAAATTTTCAAACTCGACTCGAACTCGAAAGATAATATTGAAACTCGACTCAAACTCGAAAAGGCTCGAACTCAAAAAAAATTCAAGAGCTCAATTGAAGCTCAAGGCTCGAACTCGATTCATGCTCGAATTTGAGCTCGATTCAAGCTCGAGTTTGAGCTTAATTCAAGTTCGAGTTTGAGCTCGATTCAAGCTCAAGCTATTATGAAAGGTTCTCACCCTCAAAAATAAATTTCATATCGTATGAGCCATTAGCCTACGTATCAGATATTATGCTAATAAACACACACTACACTTATCTTAGCCAAAAGGCCGAGAAAGATATACTTAAGTTCTTAACATAGGCGTTAGTCCACTCCTTTTATAACTGCTCTCCAGCGCTCTAACTCTCTTCAACGTCCGGTGTAGGATATAAATTCAAAAGGCTTTAGACTAACAAGGAGCCTTTTTCTGCGCAATAATGCCACCTTGTCTTTCCAGCCATGGAGCATCTTTTACTTTTCCTTTCTTTCTCTCCTTTATGCTCTGTAAATATTTAAATTTATAAACTCCGAGTTGCATTCAAGATCAATCAATAAATCATATGCTTTTCTTGAAATTTTCTGTCAATAAGAGTATTTTGTTGCTCATTTCCTTTTTCTGCAATGACCGCTAAATCGATCGAGGAGGTGCTAAAGCTACAATCGAAACTGTAGATGATAATGTTAGAAGGTGCTAAAGCTACAACCGAAACTGTATATGCATTGAGAACTGGAGCAGCTGTAATGAAGGCAATACAGAAAGCAATGAACATAGATGATGTCGACAAAACAATGGACGAGATCAACGAACAAACCGAAAACATGAAAATTCAAGAAGCACTGTCAACCCCTATTGGAGCTGCAGCTGATTTTGACGAGGTTATTACTTTTAGTCGCATTCTCTCATCTTCTCTTATCATCTCCTACTATGTATCCATGTTTAAATATATCATGTCTACCATTTATACATATCGAGCAATGAGTCGAAAACTTTTGATGCTGTAGGATGAATTGGAGGTAGAACTGGAAGAACTCGAAGGTGCTGAGTTGGAAGAACAACTTCTCCAACTCACAACAGCTCCTGCAGCACCGGTGCAGGTGCCTGCTGGCAGGCAACCGGCTCGTCCCATTCCTCAAAAGCGCACGGTCGAGGAAGATGAACTTGCGACATTGCAGGCTGAGATGGCACTTTGAGGTAATCTTCTAATTCAGCCTGTTATATTTGTAATCTTCTAATTTCGTCATTAACCAAGGTTTACGTTTTTATGATTCGGGTTAATTTATTTTTATTTTATGTTTTGATCACCGTTTATTTTGATAATGGACCTATTGATTGATTTGACCAAGTGTGATTTATTAGTTTATCTAAATATAAACCCTTGTTAATTTCATTTTGCATAATTTGTATGTTACCTTCATGTGCATAACTTAACCCCTATAATATAATCAGATTAAGGGTTTAGGGCTTAGGGCTTAGGGTTTGGGATTAGTGTTTAGGGTGTAATCTAACATGCTTAATTAAATGAGATTTTATTTTTCTTTTAGTACACTATCACATAATTGGATTAAATGGTTTAGGGTTTAGAGTTTAGGGCGTATGATTTAGGGTTTAGGGTGTAATATAACATGTACTTAATTAAATGAGTTTTTATTTTTCTTTTAGTAATATACAATGTAACAATTGTACTTTGGTTGCTTAATTAAAAAAATTAAAATTTGAGGGTAGTTGTATTATAGAATTTTTAATATATTTTTAAAATTTTATAATTATCAATAATGTATTTTTAATAATTTTTTTATAATGTAATTTTAAAAAATATAAAATTATATTATAACATTTTTTCGAGCTACTCACGAGCTTTTCGAGTCGAGTATCGAGTAGCTCGTTTCGGCTCGTTAAGAACTCGAGTCGAGCTCGAGCTCGAGTCGAGTCCATTCGATCCGAGTATTTATCGAGCCTTAATCGAGTCGATCTCGAGTAGCTCGCGATCTGTCTCGTCTCATTTACAGCCCTAGTTGTTATGGTGAGTGGTGCCAGTTGTGCCAGCTGGAAGGAGGCATGGTCTTTTATATTTTCTTTATTATCACACCTTCTACTCGTCATAACAAAGTAACTACCCCTCAACAACCTCTTTACTCCAGCTTTTACTCCGATAATTTAAGACACGGTCTTCACAATAAGAGTAGAATACTATATATTCATCATCAATGTCCCGCACCACTCATCATACACAAAGTGACTACCCCTCAACAAATTCTTTACACCAGCTTTTACTCCAATCTAAATATCCCGCAGACGCGATCTCAGCCTGAAATGAATCCCTCCAGCGTGGAGAGCGTCGTCACCTTGAAACAGGAATGGCACAAGGCCGCCACTGATGGCGACGCCGAAGCACTCAAAAGTTTCCAAGGGCCACTCGATTCCTTGTTGACCCCAAACCGAAACACTCTTCTCCATGTTCATTTGGCCACCCCAATTATTACTTTCAAAACAATTGGCTGTGCCTGTGTTCCGTATTTGTATTCCCTTTTTTTAAAGAGAAAAATAGCCGCTAATCAGATATCCACCGAATTTGTACAACAAATGCTTGACAAGTGCCCATCACTACTAAAGAAACCCAATGCCAAAGGTGAAACCCCACTACACGTCGCTGCCAGGTTTGGGCATGATAACATAGTTCAACTTCTAGTCGAAACTGCAAAAGCCCAAGAGAAAGACCTAGAGAATGGTATCGACCCGGAAAAGCAGATGGTCGGACTTGTTGTGAAATTCGGGTTAATTTCCACCAATAACAGATTCACCTTGAAAACTATTATCTAGGTGACTAGTGTGAAAAAGATTGTACTAAAAATCACCCCAAGGTAGATTCCCAGGAAAGAGGAGGGGTCACAATGGTCCCTCTTAAAACCCACTTTCCTTAGACAGAACTACCAAGACAAGTAATTTTAATAGGACAATAATTGACAACAACTATACCCAACAATAGCTATTAAATAGACATAAAAGAGAACACCAAAATATTTCACTAATAGAGGAAATATTACAAAGAGAGAAAGAATACAAATAGCCTTTAAAATAGAAGAAGGCTTATATTTGTGGGATGATTAACTAAGGAGGAGGAGGGCTTTATTTATAACAAAAGAATTTCCCCTCCTCCTTATACACAACCAATGTGAGACTTTTGCCAAAAACCAACAAATCTCCATCTTGGCAAATTCCACACACATCTCTAAAAAAAACAATCTTTTAATTTGTAACAATATTGACCAAATCTAAACAATGTTTAAACTTGACCGCAGTTACCACTTTTGTCAACATATCAGCAGGATTCTCAGTGGTCCGAATCTTCTGGATTATGACTCCACCTTCTTCTAGAATCTCTCGTACAAAGTGATATCGAACATCGATGTGCTTCGTCCTTGCATGGTAAACATGGTTCTTTGCTAAATGAATAGCACTCTGACTGTCACAGTGCACTTTGATGTGCTTTTGTTCCATTCCCAATTCACCAAGCAACCCTTGAAGCCAAATTGCCTCCTTCACAGCCTCTGTAACTGCCATATACTCTGCCTCTGTAGTAGACAAAGCCACTGTTGACTGTAAGGTGGACTTCCAACTGACTGGTGCCTTTGTAAATGTAAACACATAACCAGTAGTTGATCGACGCTTGTCCAAATCACCTACATAGTCTGAATCACAATACCCAACTACACACTGACCATCTTGTTTGTCCTGCTGAAAGACCAAACCAACATCTACGGTGTTCAGAATATACCGTAGAATCCATTTCACAGCTTGCCAATGCCTTTCCAGGATCATGCATATACCTGCTCACAACCCAATTGCCTGTGAAATATCGGGTCTCGTACACACCATTGCATACATCAAGCTACCAACAGCACTTGCATACGGAACCTTTGACATGTATTCCCGTTCTGCATCATCCTTAGGTGACATGGATGCACCGAGCTTGAAATGAGGAGCAAGAGGTGTACTAACTGGTTTTGACATCTCATTTATGCCAAAACGTTTTAGTACCTTCCTCAGATATTCTTTCTGAGACAAACAAAGCCTCCCCAATTTCTTATCCCTTGATATCTCCATGACTAGAATCTTCTTCGCTTCACCAAGATCCTTCATCTCAAACTCCCTGTTCAATTGAGTCTTTAGTTTCGCAATTTCTGTCTGACTCCTGGAAGCTATCAGCATATCATCAACATAAAGAAGAAGATATATAGGATCCGTCTTCTAGCTCGCGTAAATACACACAATGATCATATTTGCTTCTTGTGTACTGCCCTATTATAACTTGTCAAATCGCTTGTACCACTGCCTTGGAGATTGCTTCAATCCGTACAGCGATTTTTCTAATTTGCACACCATCTCTTCTTTTTCAGCAACTTTGAATCCATCTGGCTGAGTCATGTAGATTTCCTCATCCAAGTCTCCATGTAAAAATGCAGTTTTTACATCCATCTGAACTAGTTCCAAATCCAACTGCGCTACCAAAGCCAACAAAATTCTGATGGAGGAATGTTTTACAACTGGAGAAAATACTTCATTATAATCAACTCTCTCCGTTTGAGCCTTTAGCCACCATTGCTTGTAGCGGATGTTATTCTTGTCAGGAAATCCATCTTTCTTTGCATATACCCACTTGCACCCAATTGCCTTCTTTCCCTTCGGAAGACTAGCTAGTTTCCACGTCTGATTCTTTTGAAGGGATTGCATTTCTTCATTCATGGCAATCCTCCACTTTTTATGTTCTAAACTTTGAATTGCTTCATTAAAAGTGGCAGGAATGTCATCAATTGCAATTGGTGATGCAAAAGAGACCATATCAGCATAACGAGCAGGTTGTCTAATGGTCCTCTTTCCCTTTCTGAGTGCAATTGATTCATGTTGCTGTGAAGGTTCTTGGGTCTGAACCTCTTCTTCATCTGACTCTTCTTCTACCATAGGAGAGTCAACATCATTTTCTTTACTGGTTGGGACAAATTTGCTTCCTTCAAACTCCACCTTTTTGGGAGTTCCATCTATCTGCTCCAATTTTTCTGAAGTCACCTTTCTCAACATGGTAGATTCATCAAAGGTAACATCCCTGCTGAAGATTATTTTCTTTGTTTCTGGACACCAAAGACGATAGCCTTTCACACCAGAGGTGATCCCCATAAAAATCACCTTCTTTGCTCTTGGATCCAGCTTTGACTCCTTAACATGGTAGTATGCAGTGGAACCAAAACATGTAAGGAATCATAATCTAGCAGGTACTCCAAACCATTCTCTAATGGTGTTTTACCACCA